GGAGGGGAAAGGAGCTGATACCAAGGGCTTAAGTAGAAAGAAAATGGTTTGAAAATTATGGTGGCAACCTCTGTACAAATGTGCTTAATACAATGGATGGATGGAGTGTTACAAGCACTGTAAGAGCCCCCAATAAAGCTATTTATAAAATTTTTAAAAAGAGTTTGGCCTGGATACGATGTGTGTGCTTCTATATGCGCTCCCTCTCCCTCTCCCCATAACTTCCATGGAGCTAAAATGACTGGATGAAGGTCTTTGGTCAGAGATGCTGCTTGAAATAAGTGATCTCCATCATGAGTTAAGGAGGCATCAGAGCAGCACGCTGAGGAGCTGAGGGCCAGATTCCCACCCAACATGCACCGGTGTGTCCTTGGGCATCACCAGGAAGGTAAGGAACAAGAAGACCAGAGCTGGCTGTGGTCACAGGGGCTCTTGCTAGACCCCCGTCAACAAGAATGACCGAGATCACAGCATGAGTGTGGTCTGCAGTCACCTTCTCAGCAGGTCCCCGGTCCTCAAGGGTCTCCTAGAGCCCCCCGCGGCACCAATGCTTACTCGTGGGAAATGCACCAAGGAGACCCCCCCTGGAGGAGTAGAGAGGTGAGGTAGAAAGGGCCCCAAACCAGAGAGAGGCCTGCCTGTCTGAGCCCAGCTTACCAGGGAGGGATGGAAGACAGGCCACCATCCCGGCCAGTGGAGACACTGACCTCTGGGCATGTCCATGGGGTTGAAGCTGGCCAGCAGGTCCCGGCACCACTGCCGGTCACCCTCCACCTTGCTCAGCCAGTTGTTACAGTTGAAGTAGTAACGGAGGTGAGGCCGCTTCATGTCGGTCACAATCACACGGTCCAGGTACCAGCTGGCGCTCAGGCCCGTGTTGTCGTGCTCAATCCTGGGTCAGAAGCAGAAGCCACGGCGTCAGCGGCAGAACTGACGCCCTCCCGCCTTCCACGCGGAGTACCCAGGGCTTGCTCAAAAAGAGCTTCCACCATTTCTCTGCTGCGGATGCTGCTACTTTACCTGTCTGCACCTCGGTTTCCCTGCCTATTCAATGGGGATGCCGTGGGAGGTGGGTGTGCAGATGAACAAATGCGACCTTGTGTTGCCTTCCACCGTGAAGAACCCCTCCGTGGCCAAGGCGCGCAGCGAGATCATTCTATCTTCCTCACGCAGGCCCTCCCTGAAGAGGGCTATTTCTCTACCTTGGCCTCAGGCATATACACACACACACACACACACACACACCACTTCCTGAAGTCCACCTGAGTCAATGCCAAGCAAGACCGTTTAGCAAGACCTTTACTAAAGGGAGGGGTGACGGCAGGGAACTACATAGAGGGCAGAAACCAGCCAACCCGTCTGACTGGTGGGGCGTGACTGGCAAGGAGGAGAGTGCCGAAGGAGGAGAGTCAGGAAGGCTCTTCCTCCGCAAACAGCTGGCTAGAGAGGCCCTTACTACACAGCCACAAAACTCACGTCTCCTTCCCCCGAGGGAGACGGTGAGGGAGCTCTCCCGTGGTGGCCTGCCACCTGACTTGAACACTGACACTCACTGCACACTTTGCTGGGCGCCAGTGAGCGTACTAAGGCCCTTCACCCGTCACACTGACACTGACTAGGAGGTGGCCACGGTTACTGCAGACGAGGAAACCGAGGCTTGAAGCGGGAACCTGTCCCGAATCTCACAGCTATGGACCGGTAGGGCGGAGATTGGAACCCTTCCCCCCAAACCAAGCCAAGCCCACTGCTCTTCCGTCCCTTCTGACTCCCGTTGCTGTTACGGGCTGTCCAACCAGCCCTGACCCAGCGAGCCTGTGTTCCACCCTGCCTGGTCCCGTGACCTCTTCCGATCACTGTCCTGCCCAGCCCATTGTTTCGGTCGCTGTGTCAATCCGTGTCCCCCGGGGTCTCCCTCTTTTTCGCTGACCCTCTACTCGACCAAGCATGACGTCCTTTCCCAGGGAGAAACTGTCTTTTCCAGAGAACGGTCTCTCCGGAGAACGTGTCTGAAGTACCAGTGTTCCAGCTGCCCTTCCTCCGTGACAGATTTGCTTGTCCTTTGTCCTAATTCAAAGGCATCGACTCCTTTGCCGTCTTTTTCCCTCACGGTCCAGCTTTCATGTGGACGTGGGACTGCTGAAAACACCATGACTTGTTTTCATCTTGGGTTTCAAATCGACCTCCTTGCATTTCGACACTGTAAAGAGATCCTGAGCAGCGGCTTTGCCCAGTGCTGTCGGCTGTTGGGTTTCTTGACTGCCGCTCCCATAAGCATTGGGTTAGTCTGGGTGGACTAGAGAAACAAATCCAGGGAGACTCATATGGGTGAATGGGTGTGTGTGACAGAGAACTTTATATCAGGAGTAATTATAGATGAAGAAAACATCCCAGGCCAATCCAGATCGAGTCCCTAAG